AACGAGGTCAACCCACTTCTATCAATCGAAAGGAGACTGCGACCACACCAGAGGCCACAACATCTTGGTATTCATATATTCAATGAAGTCGATTGTTATCGTATACAAGAAAAATTGCTTCGAAATCCAGTTTTTGTGCATACCTACTTTTATTGAAAAAATGCAACTCATTAACGGCAAATGAGGCCAAACTAATGGCTCAACAAAGCAAGAAGTAATTCCACTTGAGACTTTACAGTTTTATTTTGGGAAATAAAAGTGACTTTCTTTTATTATAATACCGATTACATTATCAGGGAGATGACATAAGAGAATCGATTATCTTAATTCCTAAAAAAGAAGGTAGCTCGAAGCACTTCTATATGAACCTGAGTTGCAGAAATAATGTATAACCAAGGTTAAAACCTTATCTCATTATTAGCGATTAAGAAACTAAAGAAGAGACGATGAAGCTAATTTACAAATGGTCCCTATTTTAGGAAGACCTGCCGATTCTTAAAAAACAAATAATCTGAACTTAATACCACTTGAAAGGTCTATGGGTCAGGAAATTAAAAGAAACGGTCTGAAATCCCATTTTGCAAGCTATGGAAACTTCACATCAAAGCCTAAGAGTAGAGAATCTTTCGAAATAACATTGGGAGCCAACATCATGGGTGGGGAAAAGATAGGATGAAATTGAATGGGAACTACTTTTGGCTGCTACATGGATTTACAGAGAGGAAGAGGGAGCCGGAAAAACTACTGAATAATTGGTTTTAAAAGCCTTGAATCAAGTTAGAACCCTCATTTCGCATGTACTATGACCGGTGAATGCACACAATTGTAGCCAAATAATGGGATGCATTATTATGAAAACAAAATTAGTCTGCTACCTTATTTTAGTTTAGGGTATTTTGAAAATAAGATTAAATCGAAATAAATTTTGTCTCAGCATGGAAACCATAATAAGGGCTTTAAGAAACAAGACACAAATCGAGACATTACTAAATGAATTGATGCACCTCTCAGTGAAAGTAACTTTTGCTCGTAATAAGAACACCAAATCATTAGAAAATTCTATCAAATCTAGAAAGAATGAGTATATTAGGGAGATGAAGGAATAGGGATTAGCTAAATAGTGAGAATTTAAAACATTGAATGTAAAAAAATATTGATCGAAAAGCAAATAACTAATACAGCAACAGGCATAAGGAGTATAATAAATCACGATACATCAAAATTAAAATCATAAACGCAAAAAGATTTTTTAATAAAATAATTAATCCTTGATACATATGAAAGACTGAGGTTCTAAACACAGATTAAGACCTCTAATAACAAAGTTATCGATAGAGGTAATAAAGATAGGATACCTAGGAATATTCAGTATAAAAATATAAATATAGAAGCATCGGGATTTAGTCATTCGTATTTGAGTGATTGTAAGATAAGTTTGCGACTAAAATCAGTAAAAAATATTAGATAGAATAGTGATGAGAGCAGTAAGAAAAATGGTGAGATACCTAGAATAAAAATTAAAGATAGCCTAATGGATAGGCAGATACAGAGTATAAAAATATGAGGTAATCAAGTATACAAGAACAACAGTAACAGATGTGGTATTGCATTCAATATATGGGTGGTATCTATGGCTCACCATAGGAAATCTTTCACTAAGCATATACGTAATAGTAGATGATAACGTAGTTTTATACATGATAAAGATTTATATAAGATTACAAGAGAAAATAAAGCCGCTTTGGGATTCAAAGAAAAGGAGGCTAGTAAATATGAAGCTAAAATAAGAAATTTATTATTATCAATTTTTTTCTGTAATTTCTTCTAAATAGAGGCTAAATTGAAGGCGAGTTTATGCATGATATTTCATAACTCGGAAGCGCAGATCTAGTGAGGCAAAATGATTAAGTACCATCGGAAAAAATGAAAGCGACTCTTGATATAATTAATATTTTGCGAATAAAAGCTGAGAAAAAGTGAACTATTCATGGAGCGAGGCTAAAAAGTCATCAAGGGATCAAGAGATTGATATTGGAGTTACCACTAGAGGTTGTATTCCTACTGGTTCTGTCGAGTCAAAAGTGGTAGATGAAGTGCCCGTGCGCCTAAGATCTAAAACGGGCGAAAAGCAGCAATATTGATGCTGATAATGGCCGTGATTGTTTATATACCGAACAGGGGCATCAGAACCGATGTCAAACGAGGCTGCATCGAAGGGGACACATGATTCGGAGTTAGACTGCGGTTGCCGGGGTAACTGGCTTGGCTGTGCCAGGCAAGATGCCATAGGCAAAGAGTTATCTCCAGCCATCAAGAGACCAGTAAAGGAAAAACCGGCATCAGCAATGTGAGCTGGCATGCACGAGTCTGAGTGAGCGTCAGGTGGTGATACGGACGATAAGAGATGTGGCTGTTGTTGTTGTGATGGCAGAGGGTTAGGGAGAGGATTTGATTGTGTTGGTAAAGCCAAAGCTTCTAAAGCGAGAAGTTGAGCTGCGGCTTCGTCAACCTCGCAACTCAAATCCCAGATGACTTGGTCAGTCGGGACGGCGCCAGAAAATTGATGTTGGTCCCCTAATCGCAGTTGCAAGGCGGACCCTGCTGAAGACGACTCAGAGGCAGATGAGCTGGTCTCGAATGCCATCAAGACAGCACTGCTGGCCCTTGAGTGAGGCGGTGGTGCCTGCAATAATGACCATATCTGCCCATCCGACCAAGCCTCGCCTGCAATGCTGCGGAGGGCAGGAAGGCTAACTTCAGGTTCTGACAGACCTGGATGGCTACTGAGATCGATCGGCAAGAAGGTTATGGGAGGAACAGGAGATTCCATAGAATTTTCGAAATTCATAGTTGGGCCGGAGAAATCCACAGGTGCAGAGGTTGATGAAGAGGTTAAAACAGAATTTGTGGAAGATCGAAGCGGAGAACAGAAGGGAACGGGGAACATGTCCGGCTGAAGCCCAGAAAGATCGATAGCAGTGACTTGATATGCTTCCGTCAAATCGAGAGCAGCTTCTTCGTAATCATCGGCGCCCTGAGAGCTTGAGCACATGGTAACTTTATGCGCATGATTCCCACTCAAAACTCCTTCTTTATTGCTCTTCACCAAACCAGTTTCCCTGTTACTTATGTTAACATCTTTATCCTCCAACACAGCAAATACTTCCTCCTGATCTTGTGCAGGCTTGGACAAAAGAGCTCTGGTAGTGCCTAATGACTTCATGGCCAGTTTGGATTTAGTTTCTGGATCAAAGGGCGCATCCAGAACCAAAAGATTATCAGTATGAGAAGAGCGATTAAGTGGTAAAGCCTTACATGAAATTGCACCTTCAGATTGTCCATGAACCGATAAGGGAAAGTCGGAGGAGCTCTCCTCTCCTAGAAGTAGATTGTAATCCAGCTCATCAGAATCATTTTGCCTCAAGGCCAATGGTAGAGCAAGCTAGTGAATAACAGCGGGAAATATAGAGGAACTGGGTAGCTAAGAACAAAGTAACTGGTTTTATCTCATATGATGGAAAAAGGTTATAAAGATAGAGCCGGCTAGAATTCAAAAAAGTCATACAAAGTCTGACACAATTTAGAGGCATAGGGCTTTGTGCGACGTCGATTAACATGGGCCAATTTATATCAAGAAGATTGTAAAATAACTAGTAAGAATTAAATCAAGCTGAGACAAGTTCGAATAGAAGGTTATATATAAATTCCAGTAAAATAATAAACCTTTCGAAAATAATTTAATTTGCCCTACACATGAGCAAGGACTATGAAGTACAAAAATGGAGAATATTTTTATATGTATGATTAAAATTTGGTTCCGATATACCAACCATACGAAGAAAGCCAGATGAAAAGGTGTCTATAAAGCTGTTCCCAACTAAGGAGTAAGAAGATAGAGCTTTAAAAAGCACCAAAGATCAATCATTTTACTACGTCTAGATTATAACCATTTTAGAAACAAGATTTTCCTATAACGAACTAGGGACGACAAAATAGTAAATTAGAAGGAATGCCTATGTACCGCCCATATTTTATATAGAAAACATATATGTTTAGAGGTCAATCTATAATGTGCAAAGAGAAGTTCGTCTCGATAGTAACACCAAATGAAGTATATATAATTTGTGTACCCAAAGTGAGGCTTTCTTGTCTTATTGTCACCATCTCGATGAACGGGGTTAAGGAAGATAGCCTCGATTGACAATAATCTCGAAAGCTTAATCTGCTTATGCCAAGAATGGAAAAGATGAACTTTCTAATCTCTTCTGGTTTATTAATTAGTAAAGCAAATACTCTATGATCTAAGTAACGAGACTAGTCAAATTGAGCTCCACATAGAGCAAAAATGGATCCACATAAATTGATAAAATAAATCAAATTAAGGTAACAAGAATTTAATAGTTAAATTCATTGATGAGTCAGGCTACTAAAGCTAGCAAAGATAGAGGAAGCACCAACTGCGAGGATTTATAAAGTTCTTTTAGCTAGCCGTATATGGTACGATTTACTTCTGAGATATGAAAAAGCCGTTAAATGTGAAACTAAAAGGCTTCCTATCACAATTCCAGTTATATGTTAATAAAGATTATTAAGAAATGAGAATAGGATGGTGAATGTATACACAAAGAGTAGGTATTTTCGGCTCCATAAACAGTTTTCAAGACTACCAATAGATTTGATATTCATCCTATTTCGTTTAAGGTTATGAAGGACTGGTAGTTGAATTTTTCCACAAGCATATGGATGGGTCTTATGGTTCAATTGAATGTCACATGGCCTTACTTTCCAAAAGGTGTTTTCCTCGAGAGTAAACTATGTTATCGACATAGCCTTGGTCTCCTCAGAACCCCCAGCTGGAGACAAACCCTGGTAGTGCAGCGTATAATCCCGACAAGATAGCCACTAAGCCGCAGTGCCAGGAGTGCCCATGAGTCACAGGGTAGAAATGAATAGCAATGAAGCCGAGACCTTTTCCACATCATATTTATGTGGTAAAATTGTCGATGAAGAAAAGTAGTGCTTGCTATAGCCTTAATCATCTACACAACTTTGCTTCATCGACAATTCCAACACAGAAATATAATGTAAAAAATACCTAGGCCTCGTTAAAAAATTATTCTATCAGGTGACTCAGGGGCAAGCATGGAAGTGTGACGTAGTAGTTAGTGTCAAGATTATACGCTACACCACCGCAACCTGGGTTCGAGTCACGCTGAGGGCGCTGATGAGATTTAGGAGAGAATAAAAGTACAGTCCATTTCAGCCTGTATAAGAGTACCTTTAGGGAAACAAAGCTGTGAAATTCAATGAACACGTGATGTAGTAAAATGTTTGAGAAAATTCAACTAAAAGTTCTTCATAACCTTAACGAAATAGAGTGAATGTAGAGCTTACATCGAGTATTTCGATGTCATATCCT